TACCTCAAAAAATGGAGATTCACACAAAGACTTCACAGTTCAGACCATTTCCAGTTAGGTGTTTTCAAATGACTATAAATCAGATTGGTATATAAGATATGAAATATACTGAGATAAGAAATATGAAGTTTCCTCCTGAATGACCCATTTTAAAAATTTGTCATACCTGAGTAAAATAATTATATATTTTTCATCTAACACATCTTCATAATTTATTATATTTTTCCTCCTTTGCTGTTCCATGTAAACATTAATAGTAATGACTCAAACATCTAAACTTACAGCTGTAGCTGTTTTCCCTGTACTAACTAGTAAGACAAAATTAGCATAAGCATAGCAGAGTTTTTGCCAATCCTTTGCTCCATCCAAAGAAAATAACAACAATGCTTCTTTCAGTGGTGTTTTAGAAGAATTTTAACTTGGAAGTAGGGAAGGAGAACAGAATGCACCCAACTCAATTTCGGCTCAAGTCATTATCTCAGGATCATGAGATCCAGCCCTGCATCAGGCGTCACACTCAACATGGAGTCCGCTCAAGATTCTCTCTTTCCCTCTCCCTCGATCCCTCCTGCTGCTCACTCTCACACACTCTCTCTAAAATAAATTTAAAAAATTAAAAAGAAAGAATGCTTTGATTAACTTTGGAAGATTTCAAGAAACCAACTCAATTTAAAAACTGGTAAATAAAAGGGATTCTAGCATCTATTCTGCCTTTCTGTATAAACTGTATTCCATGGAAACAAAAAAAATTGATAGGAGAAAGTTCTTTATAGCAGTCCAAATAATAAATGAAGAAGGAATGATCAAATCAGAATAAGACTCTTTTGTGACCTCTAATAAAATAATGGATCGAAGCAATGATCATCAATGGCTGTAAAAATCATTAGGTGAAAAGTTGATATGGAACTTTACAATGGACAGATTAGGCTGGCAATACTTGAATCTAGGGATCAGTCTTATCAACACAGAGAGGTAACCAAACATTATGCGCCTTGTAAAATTAGGCAAAAGAAGGTGTAACAGGGGTGCCTGCATGCCTCAGACAGTTAAGCATCTGCCTTCAGCAAAGGTCATGATCCCAAGGTCCTGGGATCAAGCCCCACGTTCGGCTCCCTGCTTGGTGCTTCTCTCTCTGCCTGCTGCCTCTTCCTCGCCCTCTGCCTGCTGCTCCCCCTGCTTGTGCCCTCTTTCTCTGTCAAAAAAATAAAATATTTTTTTAAAAAAGAGGTATAATAATCTCTGAAGTATTCTTTAAAAAAAATTAAACCCAAGTCTGATCAAACCTCTGGATTTAACTTCCAGCTCATAAGTAACACAGTGGACAGAAGAACATGTTAAATGACACTACAAAGATACAGTCAGCAAAATCCAAAATGCGAAAAGTTCTGTAAGACAAATAACCTACATTATTTATCAAATAAATTACAAGGGGTAGGAGGGAGGATAGAGGGAAAAGGAACTGTACATTAAAAGAGACTTAGAGGGGCGCCTGGGTGACTCAGTGGGTTAAAGCCTCTGCCTTCAGCTCAGGTCATGATCCCAGGGTCCTGGGATCGAGCCCCACATCGGGCTCTCTGCTCAGCAGAGAGCCTGCTTCCCTCTCTCTCTCTCTCTGCCTGCCTCTCTGCCTACTTGTGATCTCTGTCTAATAAATAAATAAAAAATCTTTAAAAAAAAAAAAGAGACTTAGAAATATACTAAACGCAAATGTGGACCCTGTTTAGATCTTAACTCAAGCAAACCTGTATAAAAAAAAGCAAAATCCTTTGAGACAATTGTAAAAATTTTTAATACTAATTGGATATTTAATTACTTTAAAATTTATTAATTTAGCGTGATGAGAGTATTGTGGTTATAGCAAAAAACAAAAAATGTGTCCCTGTATTTAAGAGATATATGCACACATATATTTACAGATAAAATTGTTATGACAGACAGGAATTGCTTCAAAACAATTTGGGAAAATTACTGGGAAGCACTGGTATACATGAAATAAAACTGGCCATGTCCTTAGTGTTGAAACAGGGTGATTGGCGTATAAAGATTCATTATGTTACTCTATTTTTATATGCGTTTTTAAATATTCGTTTTAAAGTTTGAAAAAAGAATAGAGAATTCTCCTTCATAGATGGTTAACCTCTGAGGTGTTCTTATTTAACATATTAATTGTGCTCACCTACCCATTAGGCACTATTGCAGGTGTTGAGACACAGTATAAGAGGCAAGCATTTTAAAATTCCCTTCAATAAAGCAACTGACAAATGAAATAATTATTAAGTAAGTGGAAGCACATAATTTCAGAGATTTGCCAAGAGCAGTTAACAAATATGAACATGAACAATAAGAAAGCAGGTTGTGGGGGAGGTTTTTTGTTATTTGTTTGTTTTGGTAATCATCTCCCTACTTCCTCCTTTCTGCAGAAACAATGATTTTACATCTGGCAATTCTGGGTTTCCTATTTTAGAAGGCCTTAAAATCAAAATTATGACAAACACATTCAACTACTCCCTAGTTTGTTCAACTTTCTACTACAACATAATAACAAAAAGCATTTAATTAACGTAAAGCAAAACTGAGCAAAGTAAGAAAAAAATTAAAAACAATTGCTTGAGAACTTTCCATGTAATCCAGGATATCAAGGCCAAAATGTCCCTCTATAAAAGTGTAAGTAATAAATGACAATACTTGAAATTGGTATATTGTGCAAGCCCAATAAATACTGTTCATGTCCTACAAATCAGAAACCAAAGGACAAAGAATTATAGACTTCTTTTAAAACTTAGCTTGAAATCTAACACCTAAAAAATAGATATTATAAAAATCCAAACCTGCTTAGATACATATACACTTATGAGCAGCAGCTTAAACATGTCAAAATAAAATACAAACTACAGTTGTCCTTTATTATTTTTTAAATTTATATTCTCAAAGAATCTTTCAAACTGTTAAAATACTAAAACTCCCTTTAACTGCATACTGGATAGGTAACACTGAAAGAAGGCACTTTTGAAAGATATATATTATATAAAGTAATAAATAGATACTACTTGTCAGATGATGCATCTTCTTTCATGAAAAAAGAAGGTAGCCACTAATTTCCAGGTCACAACAGGGGAGCACGTAACATTAGACAGAATAAAACAGTGTTCAAAAGAAAAACAATTTTGATCATATCACCTCACTTCCCATGAAAAATTTTCAGTTCAAAAAAGCATGAAGGAAAAAAGTGAAATACAGAGCAGTTGTAACCAATTATAAAATTCATACTGGGAGACAGGGGTAAATACACAGCATCCTGTTAGGGAATAACAATGGCAAGTGTTATTCAATGTATTTTTCTGATTTAGGGAATGTATCTTGGTGTGTGATATCTCTGAAAACACCCAACTGTGAGTTCTCGGACAACCCAGTTCAACCCTACACTGTTATGAGTATATTCAAATAGAAGCAGCCAACATAAAGGACAAGCCTTTATGCAGAGGTGAGCAGACCAACATAGGGCACTACAACCTGGGTATCTCTACTGCTTTGTCAGTTGTTTTGACAGCAACAGGAATCTACCTCTTTCTGAGAGGCAAAAATTGCTTTAAAAGAACATCAAGTATGGCATCCTTAGAAAAGTAACCAGTTCAAACAGCAACTAAGAAGAAAACTAGATGAATGAAGTACTAGAAAAAGAGAGATTTACTAGCCATAAAAAATGGAGCCGGAGTATTTGATACCAGTGTCTTATTAAAAAAGAAGAAATAACTGAGACCAAACATGAAAAAGGCACACGGTCTTAGATCAATCAAGGCCCAAATTCCGTCCTTTTGCTCTCTAGTTCTACATTCTTTTCATATTCATTTTCATTCATTTTTCATTACATAGCACTACCTTTTCTTTCAATGAATGAGGTCTTCATTAGACTGTTAGAAAACAGCTTGCATTTACTAAAAGCCCTGGGCAAAGATGTTATTTGTGCATGTCCCAATGAGATTGCCCAATGACCCCCTTAGAACATGTTTTCAAGCAGAGCACCAAAAAAATAAAAATTCTGTCTAAAATGCAAACATTCAGATAAATAAATGTGTGTTCTCTTCACAGACACCAAAGCCTAACTGGACTGCTGTTTCTCACAGATTTGTCCACAGAAATTCCGTATTAATTTTCTTGTTCTGAACCCATAGTATCTTGCATAGTTCCATCAATCTAAGACCAGAACCTGTGAAAATAGTACATTCCAAGCACCTTTCATAAAGTTACCTCTCTTTCTCACTTGTTAAGTATCCTAAAAAGCACCCTATTTCTTCTAAGCTTTACATCCAGACCATTAACACCAATGAGTGCTAATTCAGAGGTAAGCATAATAGAAATAAATAAAATAATAAAAATAAATTAAAAATAATAATTCATTTTTTATAATTTTTCCATGTACCTTTTCAATACTTAAAATTTTATTTATATGCTAACACATATCTTCACTCAATCTAGACTCTTATTAAATCATAAAGACTTTGAGAGTAAATTTTGTCAAATACTTTACATGCAAATAAATTACCACACCATACAAAATATATATTCTTCTCTAAAATTATGGGAAATGTTAGTTTTTCTCTATTCTTCCTAGTATACTTCCAACTGTATCCAATCCTTAAAATAACTTGAAGAAACTTGAAGAAATAAATAAACCTAATCAAAACAAACTCAAAGGGCCACATCACCAAAACACCAAATCCTTAATATTATTTGCTCCAAGAACAACTGCAGAAGTTTTTTAAGTGTCGTAATATAAATGTGGACCACTATATCATAACATGAATTATGTTAATACAATTTCCTAAGTTTAAATAACACACAATAGACTTAAAAACAATTAAATGACAACCAAGCAATTACTTCAAATAGCAAAAATGTCATCTCTTTACTGAATGCCAGTTATTCATTTCTATCAATAGCCTGCAGAAGTCATAAATAAATGGGAACAGTATCTACCTGAAAAATTGTTCTGAGAAACTTACCATCATTTTGGCTCTTGCCCTTCATCTCCTCCTTCCAGGATAGGATGGTGTTCAGGGGAACATAGTCCCTTATGTATTCTTTGCGTCTCTCCTCTAAGGTCATCTTCAGTAAACGTTCTTGCAAAATAAAAGCAGAATCTCCATTTGTATTTAACTTTTAAGTTCAGGAATTATTTTATAATTTAGCGATTAATCATGTAAACAAACCAAAGAACTGGTTAGGCTTGAAAAACATCAAAATGAAAATCTAATGACTCCATATCTGAATGTTATAAAGGGTCAAGTTAATACCATTTTTACAATGGGGGATGTGGCAGAGCCTGATGAGGAAGACTCTTATGATAGCCCAAGAAATAAATGAGCTCTTTAAATCAACATATATTATCAGTCTACTAATATGTTTATACACTGCAGGTGCAAAGGTGATCCTTAACCTTGAGGAGTTCACAAGACAAAAGAGGAATGGATACTATACAAAATAATAGCTACATAAATAAAATTCAAAATCCTAAAACAGGTATGTATAAAGGCTAAGAGCACAAGAAAGGCAATCACCACAGCATTCCCTTAATTCAAAATGCCATCAACAATAAAGGGGCACTTCAATTTAATAATATCTTTGTGGAGGTAACTAAATACTACTTTTAATATACATCTTGATAAGATTAAAATATCTTTAAAAATGCATCTTAGAATGACAATATAAAAATATTATAAAAATGCATCTTAGAATTAAGAACAGTAAGTCCTTTATAAGTGCTAGATACTTCACACATAAAATTTCATGGAAATCATCTTTCCAACAACTCAGCAAAATTAACTGTATTATTATTCTTATTTTGTAGATAAGGAAATGAAACACATCAAAGTTCAATAGCTGTCCAAAGCAAGAAAGCTTTCCATTAAAATCCAGTCAGATATCTCCAGAAGTCAAAAACTATAACCTATATTAATAATCACTACAATGTACTACCTTCACAGGATAAGCTCCTGAGAAGAGGTGATGTGTTTCTGTTATGTCAGCTGTCATGTATCATATACTTTACCAAAGGTCTCCACAATGTAAAGAGAATGACAGTTGTTCTCTCTCCAACTGCCTTTAAGCACAGTACAAAAATGAATGGATTTAAGGAGAGTACCTAGTAGTAGGTATCTAACCCTCATAAAATAATCACTTTCAAAGATTCTTTCCAGGGGCGCCGAGGTGGCTCAGTCATTAATCGTCTGCCTTCCGTTCAGGTAATGACCCCAGGGTCCTGCAACCAAGACCTACATCTTCTCTCTCTCCCATTGCCCCTGCTTGTGCTCCTTCCCTCTCCTCGCTGTGCCTCTCTCTGTCAAATAAATAAATAAAATATTAAAAAAAAAAAAAGATTCTTTTCAGAAATAAACTGCAGAATGTATTTTTTTTAAAGATTTTATTTATTTATTTGACAGAGAGATCACAAGTAGGCAGAGAGGCAGACAGAGAGAGAGGAGGGAGCAGGCTCCCTGCCGAGCAGAGAGCACGATGCAGGACTCGATCCCAGGACCCTGAGATCATGACCTGAGCTGAAGGCAGAGGCTTTAACCCACTGAGCCACCCAGGCGCCCCTGCAGAATGTATTAATTTAAGTACAATAGAACAGGAAATGGGAAGCAAACATTTTTCCCTGCTCCTAGAACTGGCTTTTCTTCAGCCACATTAGGAAGTAATAATAATAATAAAGTATTTTAACCAAATGTAATATAATCAAATCACAATACTACAGTACTCAAGGGTTAACACTGTACTGAAATCCAAGTTGAAATCCAAGAATCTGGAAATCAGGAAAGAGATCTAGCTAGCCTTGAGATTTTGGAAATTACAACTGAAACTTCTGGTCCTAAAGGAAGTTCACAGGAAAAGGTAAGGGATATGATCAAACCTCAAAAAAAAAAAAAAAAAAAAAAAAAAAAAACGGGGTAGACACAAAGAGGGGGAAAATGAAATAAAACTTAGATGTCACTGGAGGTATAAGGTGAATCAAAGTGCCAATGATGTAGAAACCAGCAGACAGAAGAATTTTAGTAAGATGGGGACTGGGGGGATGGGATAACTGGGCAATGGACATTAAGGAAGGCAAGTGATAGAAGGAGCACTGGGTCTTATATAAGACTGATGAATCACTGAAACTGAAATAATACACTATATGTTAATTGAACTTAAAATATAAAATAAAATAAGAAGAAGGGAAATACTGTCAACTGCTATAGGAAGATCAGGAAGAATAAAAATTAATAAGCCACTGGTTTTATCAACTGGATCACCAACAGCACTGAAAAGAAAGCAAAGTGGTTAACAGAGCTGTCTGGATTCTAATCCCCAACCATGCAAATCTATGTGATCTTGGGTTACCTAATCTCTTAATGTCTCAGTTTTTCTGAGGTAGGTATTATACACAATTTATAGATGAAGCAATTAAGCCAGAGAGGTTGTGTAACATACCTAATGTTCTACAGCTAGTAAACAATACAAGTAAGATTCAAATCAGACAAATCTTCAAAGCTCTTGACCCTACAATATACTACCTCACAGAACTGTTGTGAAAATTAAATGAGATAACCCATGTAAAATACAGTAGTCCCCCTTATCTGCAGTTCTGCTTTCCATAGTTGTAGTTACCCATAGTCAACTGCAGTTGGGAAGAAGATAATCCTCTCTCTGGCATATTGTCACAGAGTCAGTAGTAACCTAACACGATGTCATGTCATTCACCTCACTTCATCTCATCACACAGGCGTTTTATCATCTCACATAGTCACAAAAAGGATGAGTACAGTACAATAAAATATTCTGATGCCACATTCACATAACTTTTATTACAGTATATAGTCATTATTATTCTGTTTCATTATTACTGTTAATACGTTACTGTGCCTAATTTATAGATTGAAATTTATCATAGGTATATGTGTATATATACATACATACACAGAAGGAAAAAAACAGTTAGTGTTCAGTACTATACACAGTCTTAAGCATCCACTGGGGGCCTTGGAACGTATCCCCATAAATGAGGGGAGACTGTTGTACTTAGAATAGTGCTATGCACACAAACAGGACTCAAATAGTAACTCTTTTTATATTGGTACCATCACTGTTACTACTGAGTGGATTTAGAAACATTAGTTTCACTAGAGTACAGTTGAGACCCAGGACGACTACAAGGAAACTGAGGAAAAGAAGTGAGAACAGCAACTCCAGGATGAAGCCCTTTGGAAAGAAGGGTATTTTATGGTAGAGACTCAAGTATCATTATAAAAGGCTGAGGAGGGGAACCTAAAGACATTGATGAACTAAATATATCCAAAAGGGAATAAATGATAGCAAAAAAAAAAAAAAAAAAAAAAAAGGAAGGAAGGAAAAAAGAAAGAAAAGTGCTTCCATTAAGGTAAGAATAAGGCTGAAAGGACAAAGGACGTATAAAGAAATGGACAAAGGAAAATGCTAGGGCTATTCATGTTATATGACATACATTTTCTAAATGAATTAAAAGGAAATGTCATGTATTTAATATAGGAGGAGGGGGTCCTGATAGAACAGGAAGCTTGAAGGAAATGGTAAATTTGGAATACTCACATAAAGGAGGAAAAGGGATGACTAGCACTTTCCAAAGCACTATTATAAGAGTTCAGATCACTATTATAGACATATTGCAAGATCAGTAATTAGGTTGAAAGATATTATGAAGCAACTTGTAGTTTTAGTAAATGTCAGAAGGTAATATAGAAATGCAACCTGGCCTTTGTATTTATAGAAACATTAAGTATGGACACTTAGAAAAGAAACAAGATCAATAATAAGAAAATAAGGTAAAAGAGAGAGGTGATTTACGTTCCAGTACTTGAAATTATAATACACACTAAGTGGTTTTAAATTAGGGCTCAAAATAATACATTAATAATGTTCACTTAACATATGTGGACTTAAGTCCTTTGTTACTTGTTTAAACAATGAAACATACTAAGGACCACAAACATCTATACAGTTTCTTCGCATTACACAAAACTTTTCCTGAAAGAATGCTTCCCCTTTAGAATGAATCTGCTCTATGAACCAAGCATATAAGTAGACAGAACTACTATTAGATGGCATACTGAGATAAAGAGTGTTTACAGAATGCCAGACATTTCAATGAGGAGGATAAGCCTTCCTTCAGACTTAAGTAACAGCTGCAAAAATACAATAAAATCCTCACCAGTGCAATGAAAGAAAAAAGGTCATGCATCCCATTAGCTTCTTTAATACTAACCACTGTATTAGAAATCCTTAGTTCTCTCTTGATGGTACAATAGATACTTTTAAATATTAAATATTCAAAAATAGACATCCTGATACACTGAGACATACACTAAAGTCTTCAAATCACAGTTTAAGTTTTTCCTTAACCATTAAACTCCATGCAAAAATAAAGTTAGTTTTAGACAAGATATATTTAATTTGTTAAATACCCTCTTTAATTGTGCACTTGCTTCTTTACTTGAAAAAATTTAGTTTGGTTATGTTTTCCCCTATTGTTAGAAAGAAAATATCAAAAACTCAAGACATTAAAGATTCTAAAATGCCTGCTTGCCACAGTCCAAATGTGTAGATGTTAAATGAAGGACCGTTATAACATTGTCACTTTAGGAACATTATGACAGAAAAATACTTCTTAAGCAATTACCATAATTTCATCAGTGAATCAGATATTGAAAACAATCTTGATTTCCATTATTTTGCCTTATTATCAATGCAAAACTAACATTTCAAGACCATCAAGAAAAATGGGCATAAAGGATCTTTCAATGCTTACAAGGAAAATTGTTGGAAAAAAAATTGGAAATGTGCTGAAACTAAAGTAACTGACACTGCAAAAACAAAGATTATTTGACACTACTTTATATATACCAGGCTATTATTCTCAACAGAATTTTTAGTTTGATATAAGCCCATATCAAGACATAATTAAATGACATACAACCTAATCTTTCAATATTTTAAAAGCCATTTTAGATCTTCCCAGGAGTTAATTTGAAAAAATAAAATCCCCTCCCCATCCCTTTCCTTCTGCATTGAAGTGGGCCCTATATAAAGGATTATTTTCCACATACATTCTTTCTTATGTCCACTGTTTGGCCTTAGTGTTTATAAAGGCCAGGACTTGCGAAAAGAATCTACAGGTTTTAAAGAGCTATTATCAAGGAAATCAACTCTCAACCTCGTCACCCCATTATCCTTCTAATATGAAGAAAACAGGATACTTCGGAGAGATCTGCACTACCCTCACCTGACTTCACTCTGGATACACAAGTTTAGTCTATGTTAGCAGTAGCAATGCAAGTATCTGCTACACTTCTGTAAAAAACTAAAGAATCGAAAAGTGTGAAAAGAATGAAAGAAAAAACGCCAGAGTTTTTTGTCGGAATAAAGTTTTATGTCGGAATATTATCTAACTATAATACCAGAGAAAAAGGGGGGTGGGGACAGGACTGGATGGTACACTTCTGTGTCTTCTTACAGGAATCAGTGCCACCGTCAATCTAGCTGATCTGGATAACCTTTAATATGCACAAATTTCAGGGGTAGATGCATTCACAGAGAGTAATATCAGCTTCACAATCTTACACTGAGCAACTTCTGGTTACAAAAGGGCATGAAATACACAGAAACACACTGCAGAGAAAAGCCCATTCAGACTTCGCGGAAAGCATTTATCCTCACGGACAAGACGCCCGTTTTCAGTTTCCCTTAGAGTTCCAGGTTTCAAAAGTCACACTGCGGCGCAGAAGGGGCCTAGAGAAGGGGTAAACGCCCGAAGGTGCGGACACTCTGCCAGCTGGGGGGTGGGGGACAGAGGGGAGGAGTGAACCGATGAGGGTCAGCTTGGCGCGGAGGCGCAGCTGCAGCCCGTGTGCCCGCCGGCGGGCACGTGTCCCTGGGACAACCTGGCCGGGAGTCCGAAAGTCCCAGATGGGGCCCGGGGAGAGGGTGGGGGACCTGGGCAAGTTGTGCCGCACCCGAGAACTGACGCGCGGGGATCCAAGCCACCAGCCAGGCTAAGGCAGCCCCGCATGGGGAGAAGGTGACCGGGCGCGGTAGGCAGCAGAGGGGCGTGCGCCCACACGTGCGCGAGCTGCAGGTGCCCGGGGGCGGCGCGTGCACGCTGGTGTGTGCGCGCGTGTGCGCGTGTGTACACACGGACTCGCGAGGGAGGCGGCACCGGCCGGCGGGCGCGAGGGGGGAGCTCGGGCGGAGGGCGCCGCGGCACACACAGCCTTGACCCCCGCCCCCACCCGACCCCCAACCCCCCGCACCCCCAGGACTCGACGGGCCAGTTACCTTTCTCCTCTCTCCACACCTTTTTCTTCTTGTTGCTGGGGTACATGTTGCCGTGGGGGTGGCTGGCTTTAAGCTGCAAGTTCCCCAGGCTCACAGGCAAACAGGGTGTGTGTGGAGTGGGAGGGGTGGGAGGGGGCACTCGGGAGGAAAAAAAGTGCAAGAAGCTCCGGGTCCCGCGCCACTCGCCAATCGCCGCCCTCTTCTCTCAGCCCGCGCTCGGCTTGGGTTCCCACCCGCCTCAGCCCCGCGGCCGCCGCCACAGCAGCACCTCAGAGCCTGTCAACTAGGTCACGCCTCGCGCTAACCTAACACCCGCGCAGGCCCCGCCTCCCAGCCGCTAGCCAGCGACGCCTCCCATTGGCTGCAACGTCCGCCGCTCTCCGCGTTCCAGTCACCGCGCGCCCCTACTTCGGCCCCAGGGCGCACGCGCAGGCGCAGGCTCGGGCCAGACGCCGAGGACGTTGGGGAGCTGGAGGGGGCGGAGCCAGGGCGCGAGGGGGCTGGAGATGGCCTCGCGTTAGGAGGGGCGGGGTGTGGAGCGGACGCCTGGGAGGAGCGTGAGGTTGCGGGAGCTTCCCCCTGCTTCTCGGCGCTTGAGAACCTGAGGGCGTGGCCTATATGGCCAGGTGTGCTAGGTATCTGGAGAGTCATCAGGAGAAACCTGCCTCTGGAGCTGGAGGATGTGAAAGTGGGAGGAGAATTCGGTCAACGCGAATTGGTTTACTCCAACTGACCCGTCTGGATGGATTTTACCAGATAATCTGAAGCTTTTCTCTTGGTGAGTAAATATAACCCGAAGAAGTGAGAGGATTGGGAAAACTTCCACACCATACAATCAGCTCCTCAACCTTGTAGTAAAAATTACAGTCTTCGCTGGAGTGTGGTGAAGTTTAGAACGAGCAAAGACAGACTGGACTAAACCAGGGTTTTAGGAACTTAGTAGTGGGCAACCAAAATGTTATATTGGAAACAAAAACTTACATCAAAGCAAATTCAAGTGGGTGTCAACCAGAGCCAAGTCATCTTACCTTTTTTTCCTCCAATCGCTTCAATTCAAGGCACTGGGTTAAAGCGCTGGCTTGATTCTGGGTAATACTAATCTGTTGGTGTTCTGAAAATCCAGTTCGGATAGAGTCCACCACAAGAGTTGGGTGACCTAGAATTTAAAGAAAGTTTGACAACTCCCTCCCCCAAATGTATTGCATTTCTAAATATCAGACCATTTACAAGGTTGATTTGGTGGATGTAGTGAAACGACATTTATCTGACGTTTGGAGTTGCCATGTTATCTGTGTAGTACTTAAGCCAGGTGTGTAAAAGCTAATATTTGCAACACATTTTTTAATAATAAGAGGGGAAAAAAAGGAAAAAAGAGGAAGGTCTTATTAAGGTTTGTAAAAAAAAAAAAAAAAAAAAAGAAAGAAAAATGTTTTCAGTAACAGGACACTCATGACTCTGATTCATGACATAGTAAGGTAATAATTTTTATTTTAACATTGTCTATGCTTCTGTTTTTCTTTTAATGCTGTGAATTTGGCTGGGAAAAATAATGAAGTCTTCAAGAAGGAAGTGACACTTGGGCTAGTAATAAAAATATGCACTTATTTTTTGACAGTGGAAATAAAAAGCTCTGATTCGAGACACATTACAAAAGTAGAATCAATAAAAATTAGTAATGGAATAGATTTGGGGAACAGGATGAGGAAAAGAAAGAAGAGTTTCATGGAATAGTTAAGAGGAGAATAGCAGTATTAATAATAATAGGCAATCCAGGAGTAGTTGGAGATTTTGTGAGAAATATATTAAGTTCTTATTTAGAAATGCTACATGTAAAGTGTCTGCAGGAAAGTGCATCAGACTGGACACTATACCTTTTGTTACAAGACGGAGGCTATTTCCAACCCAGAGTCCACCCGTGTTTTCTTAGGAACCTAACACTATGATACTGATTATTCTTTGTTTCATGTCAACTTAAGGAACTAGAACCATACATCAACTTTCAAACTTTCTCAAGTCTCTTCCATATTAAAAACAAAACAAAACAAAACAAAAAATTCCTCCTATGATTCCACAACACCCTCCAGCTACTGCTTCTCCTTCATTTTCAAAAGGTTGTTGGTATCTGCTGTGTCAGTTTCCTTACTTCCCACTTTCTGCTTTTCAGTCCACTTTCTTCTTGTTTCTACCTTATTAACCAACTGAAATAGCTCCTATTAAGGTGGCCAATGACCTTCATGTGCTATTTAATGGACATTTTTCAATCTTTCTCTTAGACGATCTCTCAGCAGCATTTAACACTCAGCCTCATATTCCTCCCTGCAGCATTCTTTTCCTTCAACTTTTCTCACCCTTTCGAGATTCCTCCTATACGGCCATTTCTTCTCAGCGTCCTTTACTGGCCCATCTTCATTTTCAGCCATTACATTTTGGAGTTCATTAAGACTTAGTTTTAGCCCTTTGTATCTTTTCACTTTATACTTTTTCTTCGAATGACTTCATCTGCACTCATGGTTCAGGTGTAACAGTGATTCTCAGCCAGGGGCGGTTCTGCACTGCAGGGGACATTGGCAGTGTCTGGAGACATTTTTGGTTGTCCCAACTGGGAAAAGAGTGCTACTGGCATCTAGTGGGCAGAAGTCATGGATGCTGCTAACCATCCTAAAGTGCATGGGACAACCCCACAACAAAGAATCATCTGACCCAAAATTTCAACACTGCCAAAATTGGGAAACCCTGAGTTACACCAATGACTCCCAGAGTTATTATCTTCAGCAAAAATTTCTTCTTGAACTTTTGACCTATACATGCTACCATATATTGAATATCAACTTTAAGAGGCAGTGTTATGTACTGTTTCAAAGGCACCTGAAACTAGACCATCTTGATTCAAATCCTGAATTCACCGTTATTGATCATGTGACCCTTGGCAAGTTACTCAGTCTCTACACGTTGCTTTTTTTATTATGTGGATATGATAATTTAGTATCTACCTTGATTGGTGTGAGGATGAAATGAGTTAAATAACACATGAAGTGACTAACACCTAGTAAATGTGGCAGCAATGTTCACTAATACAATTTTCTCTCTTTTGACCCCATAGGAAGACTGTATTTCCCAGTGTCCCTTGAAGTTAGGACAAGTGACTGCATCCTGGGTGGGTTATAAAGCAAGAGTGATATATGCCACTTCCAGGCCTACCCATCAAATCCTCTGTACACTCATCCATATTCTCTCTTTTCTTTCCATGGTGGTCTCAGAAGCAGCATCTCAAGAAGGAAGGAGCTTGGATCCCTGAGTCACTGCTTGAAGGAATATCTCAGTGATCCAAGGAGTATCACATCAGGCTATGATATAAACAAGAAACCTTTATTATATTAAGGCATTGGTATTTAGAGGGTATTTGTTTCAGCATTAAGTATTAATTATTCTGACAAAATACCATTATCATACAGGAGTATTAAATATTAATATTTAATGTCTCAAAAGTACTTAAAATGTACGATGTACCACACTGAACTCATGATCTTTCCTCCGCACTTAGATTTCTTCCAGGGTCCCCTGTCTCTTTGAATGGCTTCATCACCCTTTCACTTGAGCAATCAGCAATCCTAAATACCATCTCTGATACATCTTATAACTTCATTTTCATTTCAAATGAATTGTTATATCATCTCAATTTTATCTCTTATATCACTCTTTTATTGCTCTCCTTTCCAATGGCACTGCAGTAAACTCAGTTAAGAAATTAACTGGATTCTTTAAAAAAGCTTCCTAATTTGCCCCCATGTCTTCTTTTGCCCCTCTTATGTCCATTCTCTGCCCTGCATCTGGAATTACCTTGTCAGATGTGATCATGTCACCTCGCTGGCATAAATTGTTCAATGACTTTCTGGTGCTCTTTGCTTTGGATTGAATTGTATTCCCCCAAAATTCATATATTGAAACCTTAGTTGACTGTGGGATTATATCTGGAGATTAGGTCTTTAGGAGTTACTTAAGGTTAAATGAGGTCACAAGGGTGGGACCCTAATCCAGTAGGACTGTGGCCTTATAAGAAGAGGTAGATAAATATATATCTCTTCACCTTCCTTCTACACCTACCCCTCACACCTGCTGTGGGAAGGCACAGTAAGAAAGTGGCTATCTTTCTCACTTAAGATAGGAAGAGAGCCTTTGCCATAACCAGACACTGCTAGCATCCTGATCATGGACTCCTAGTCCTCAGAATTGTGGGAAAAAAAATTCAGTTGTGGTATCTGGATGGCTCAGTCAGTTAAGTGTCTGCCTTCAGCTCAGGTCATTATCCCAGAGTCTTCAGATAGAGCCCTGGAACAGCCTCCTTGCTCAGAGGGAAGCCGCCTTCTCCTTCTCCCTCTGCCTGTCACTCTCTGCTTGTACTCTCTCTCTTTCTCTGTCAAATAAATAAATAAAATCTTTCTAAAAAATTCTTTTGTTTAAGCCATCCCATCTATGGCATTTTATTATGGCAGCCCAAGCTGACTACTACAGTCTTATAAAAACTAAATCATTAAGAATGGAGAGTGCCCATCGCCTACCAGTTCTGCTCCACCACTACCACTCAATCTCTGGTTCCAGTCATACCAACCATAGAGTTTTTCAATTACTTGAACACATCTTATTCACACCATGTGGTCTTTTCACTTGTTTGCCACTATGCCTAAGACACAATTTGCATAGTGGACCCTTTCTTATTCTTCAGAGTTGAGGTTAAAAATCGTTCCCTGGCAGAGCCCTCCCTAACTCTGACCCCACCTGACCTCTACCCACAGTTTTCTTTTATATGCCTTCAGTGCTAATTTATTTTCCTATGAAGCATTATTTACACTTTGTAATTATATTTTTATTTTAGTGATTCTTTCATTAATATTTATTTTTCACTGTGGACTTACAGACTCTCTAAGGACAGGAAATATGTCCACTACCCACAGAGAATAGTACAATGCCTGACACATAATAGGCTCTCAATAAAAATTATTGAATGAGAAAAACTTTAAATGAGCATTATTCATACAGAGATGTTGATAAAACTGAGGGAGAGCATGTGAGACCAAAAGGGGTTACATTGGAGAGGGCATAAAATTAATGTGAAGACTAAGAGAGGAAGTAAATGAAATTAACAAATGCCTGAAAGAGAGTTACCACCATTCATCCTTAGCATACAGTAGCTATTCAACAAATGAATGAATGAGTGAGTGAGTGATGGAATGACTGAGAAATTGTGTTCAAGAAAGTAGAAAAATAATTGAAATTCAGTTTTAAGAGAAACCAATAGTATATTCTCAAGAAGATG